ATTACTTCTCCAGGAAGAACATGAGTTTTATATACATTGAAAGCTGTGAAAAAGAGAATGGAACTAACATTTTTGGCACACCTACCCTAAGTGAGATACTGTGTTAATGTTTTTACAACAATAATTTGCAACTTTGGTTAAACATTACAATCACTAAAGGCTAAAGTCCTTGCCTTGTATGCGCCAGGATCCCATATGGGTAGCGATTCTAATCCCGACTATCCCACTTTCCGTCAAGCTCCCTGCTTGTGGCCTGGGAAAGCTGTGGAGGACAGCCCAAAACCTTGGGATCCTGCATTCATGCGGGAGACCCGGAGGAGGCTCCTGGCTTCGGATCAGCCCAGCTCTGGACACTGTGGTCACCTGAGGTGTGAATCAACAGATGGAAGATCTTCCTCTTTGTCTCTCCTCCTCTCCGTATATCTGACTTTTCAATAAAAATAAAATAAATCTTTAAAAAAAAATAACATAAAAGCTGTTGCTTTCCACCTGAAAATACATTATCAGCAGTTTTTTTGTTAAAGTTATCCCAACTCCCTAGGGGGCAATGAATTTCATTTAACTAAAATTCATATTTCAGAGAGAGATGGATAATATCTCACAATTCAACCTCAACAGGAATCATTGAGTAATATGTATATATGAGAGCTGTATTTCTGACTGGATTACAAATCTACTAAATGGTTTCCCTTTGTATTTCTGGCATACCAAAGATTAAATCAAGACATTATGAGAAAAGGCAAATACTCTGAATGCTTGGAGATTTCTAGAATAAAATACAACTTTTTTAGCTCAAATAAACAACCTTAGGGATCAGTTACTCTTGCTTCATTATACATAGAGACTATAATGCTGCTTTGGCAGCTCATGTTTCATTCTTGGCCCTCTCTAATCACATATGCACTATACTTATTTTATTATCCAAATATGTTAGTGCCCAGTTCTCATCTCACACTACATAAAGCATCTTCTTTTAAAGTTCATGCAAAAAGCTGACTATCTTTTAACTCTATTATCCTTGACTTCGTTGAGGTACTCTCATATGTCCCCTTCAATCTCTGGAATAAGGCCATTCTAGACTTATTTCAGCTCCATAAAGATACTGAACTCATTTACACTACATGGTATCTACATAAATTACATTTTTCTGGAATGTATTTTCCCACATTCACCTCTGCTTTCACCTAACAACCACTTATCCTTCTGGTCGTAACTATTGAGAAGCCTTCTATATCACCTCTTCTCCTTTAAAACAAGACTTGATCCTTTTTACTACCATGAGTATTTATTTTCTTTTTGTTTTATTTTTAATTATATGTTAATTTGAAGAAATAGTACATCTGAATCACCACTAGGCTGTTTCCTTCCTGAGTACATAAATCCATCCTTTGATTCATCATTTTTTTCCTCAAGACTATTTTACAAAGGCAGATGAAAGCTTGCCCCAAGAAAGCTAACCCTTCCTACACTGCTACTGTACTTAGTGCTTACCACTACTACACTTTTGTTCATGATCTCTTTTTCACTTATCTGATTCTGTCTGATTCCCCGTGACAACTAAAACTGTGACTATATAGACTTTGAAATCACCAGTTATCAGTTACTAGAAATCACCGGTTATTATGTGACTAGAAATTGCATCAATAGAAATTTAATTAAAACTTTAAATTTTAACTATTTCACAACCAATACAGAAACTGTCAGTAAAATGTGTTAAGTCTCTCTTTAAATCCTTAAATCCTTAACATGTACATTATTGTGTTTATGACACATAGGCAATACATAATTTCCATAAGCCCATATATCTCAGTTTTCTTGCAGTATTCCTGACTTTAGCTTTTTATAGATCGATTATAGTCTGCTAATTTTTTTTTTTTTTTGGTGATTTTCTCGGAAGAGTAATGTACAAGCTTCTGTTAAACCCTAAAGCACATCTTCCCTGATAGTCTTAGTTGACCCAACTGTTAGCTGTTCAAGACCTGAAACCATGAATTAACAGTCATGTAGGCAATGGGATCCTTTAGGGGATGAGTAAGATCACATCTCAAAGAAGTCCAGAATAATAACAGCTGAAATGATCTTTTCTTCCACAACAATGCATGTACTTAAACAGTTACCTAATGTCTAGTCCTTAAATTAGAACAAAAGAAGAAATAAGAAAATGACCCTTATTTTGGCCTATTTTACCAGATCCCTATAATTTATTTCTCTCAATTCCCTGGTTGTTGAATCATTAGTAGTATAAACTAGTATCAATATATCAGTCTACAACATTCATTTTTACAATTCATTTATATCTCCTTGGACTCCGACTTCATACTATACCTATTTTTGATACTGGCATATCTGCTGCTAACAGAACTCTAAAGAATACTGTTTATTTCTTTTAAATTAGCTAAGATTATAAATTACAGGCATCTAGAAACTAAAAACAAAAAAGCCAGCATAAAGAATACTCAAAACACAGTAACTTCCACAGTACGCACTAATACTGTAATATATTAAAAACTAACTCAAGAATATAAAAATATAAAGAATCCAGCCCTATACACCTTAACTGACAATGACAATTCTAACATATAACACATATAAAAATAAGTAGGTTTGCAACATGCCTTTACATTTTACAATCTAAATTCTACTGTCCATAGAAAAAGAATCACTGCCTGTAAGTCCTTTCAACTGATAAATTTCTTCTTTACATTATTACCAAGAAATATTACATAAGTTTGAAATTCTTTACAAAACGAATTTCCAATGAGATGGGTAGAATTCTTACATGCAAGGAAAATCCCAAACCATCTCTTTTTATAGGTTGTTTCAAAACTTCAAATTCTCCCAAGGCAAGGAATTATTAATCTCAAGATACACAATTTTTGAAATAGTCTTCAGAATAACAAAACACATACTATTTGATTAATTATTCAACAATATAGGCTTACACTTACCTGACAAAAATGTTTCCATTTGCAGTTCATAGCATTCCACTGTAATTATTTTTAAACTTAAAGAAAAACTCCAAATGAACATATAAAATAATTTAACTGCCTCAAATTTTGAATCCTTGGCTTTACAATCACTGTGTTATCATTATTTTCAATGTATCCATGGGAATATAATGGTTATTAAATAAAAATCTAAAAATGTACTAATTTAAATTACACATATTAGTAAAACCCAACAGAACCACAACTATTCAACATCTCCAGACCTAATAAACACAAAAAAATCCTGTGTAAATCATTTGTTTATCACTGATGTCTCTAATGTGCTGGGGCATAGCAATATTAAAAAGAGTGACATTTGTTATTGTTTGTAGATGAATGTAGACACTGCCCCTTCTTAATGACTACACTTGGGCACAACATTCACCTCACCCTTAGTATGCGTTGTTTTAAACTATGCATACTAAGACTAAGCATAAAAACCATGAAACTACCACCTACTTTTAGGTGATGTATGTTTATTATAAATAGGATCAGCTTCAATATCCTGCTGCTGAACTACACATGTACCTCAATACTCAGAAACGATTCTGTGCCTGGGTTTTAATGCTCTTCCATCACATCTTGAAATTTTTAACAATGTTGTTTTTGAATTTGTGTGCATCAACAAATTGGGTTAAAGCCCATGTCAATGATTACACGCAGCCTGCCTCTAGACTTCCTGAGATAACTGCTTTTGTGTCAACTGTTCCCCTATACAGCAATTACCGTCTTCCCTAAAGCTTTGGCACACCGTGGGTAGGTTTAGGTCAGTTTCATGAGGCAAGGCCAAGGACATTTGCGAAGCTATGCATTTGTCCCTGCCCCCAGGACTCCCATGCTCTAGGAAAACTAGCATAAAAAAATTCATATATCAAGAAAAAACACAGCATATAACTAATTTTTTGCAAACCTACCACTGTCCAGATTTTTAAACAAGAAGCTTCACATTTCCAGTTTGTACTAGCCCAATAAATTATACAGCCATCCCTACAATGTAGTTTCATATTTATCAAAATCAGCTTTGCTACTTTGATTTATTGACAACCAAGAGATTTTGGTCAAGAATCAAAGATACCAAAACTTAAGAATACGGAGATCCACCAATGTGCCAAAGAATCACAAAACCTACTAAATTTAGCAGTTCAACTATGCACATAAAATATAGTGCACAATCCCAGATGGTCAATTTCCTATCCAACAAGTCATGAGCTTTACAACTAACAATTCTATAAAAACAACTTCATCTTTACAAATCTTAAACTATGATAAGTTACACAAAATACTGTGACTATAACATTCATTTTTGTTTAGCTCTATTATTTAGAAAGGCTTTCTGGTCAGTAGGAATCAACAACATCTTCAAAATATTTTGTTACTTTATAAAGAACACTCAAATTTGAGAGCGGTAGCAGTTAGGCACACTTCATAGACACAAACACAGCAAAAAAAAGAAAACTCTGAAGCAAAACATTTTTGCCTTTACTTCAGACAACGCTTTCAGGATATCTCAAAGTGCAAAAAATCAATACTCCTTGTCATTTTTCAAAAGACTGTCCCAAACTGCATGGGCTCTTTATTCCCACAAATATCACCCTACAGCACTGACATCTATAAAACACTATCTAAATTCTAAATCCTAGTGCCCTTTTGTTATCCACCAATGTAATCCTGGGCAATCTGCCCTCCACCTTCTCCTTAACACTTAAACTGATGTATAATCCTAGCTTCTTGCCCCCAAATGTAACTCCCTTCTTCAACTAATATTTAGATACTTCAGCAAACAGAACAATTCTGTATCTATAGTTATCAGTTACGATTTTGCCCTCTAGAAGCTCCCAGAATTGCTATATAGTTTGAACAATCAAGGAGAACCCAAACAGAAAACCAATCCATTGTAAAATCATAGACTCATTTTTAATTAATGCTATTTTGAGCAGAGAAAACATCTCAGCACATGCTCAAAGTACAAGGAGGACGGAGGGGTGGAACAGGAAGGGGAAATGAGTTACTCACGTTGTTCATGTACTCTGAAAGCAGGTCCTGAAGAGCCTGGCGAATAGCGTTGCATTCTGCGATAATCCGCTCCCGGTGGAAGTCCCTCGTGCAGGAAGAGTCTGCCAGCAGAGCAGCCCCACTGATAATGGCTTCAAGGCGCTTTTCCAGTGATGGTCTTATTTCTTCCTCAGTCACTGTGAGTGGATTCAGGACTATTAAATTCTAAAAAGAAAATACATTCAAATAGTTAGGAGTACAGATAAATATGTAGAGGGAGATAGAAAGGAGAATTTGTTTTTACTTTTGGAACTCAGATATAGAATATAAGGAGAACTGTACTTTTTAACACCTTGACCAATTTACAAACACTATGAGTAGTGACTATTATTCAGATGAGTGATGAAATTATGGAGATCAGTTCAAGCCTCAGACTTGGATTCAAAACATGATTTTCCCAAACATAAGTGGTTTAGTCTCCCAGAACACCTCATTCTCAATTTATAACACTAGAATATTAATATCTCCTGTGTTACAAAAATATTGTAAGAATGATATAAATGCTTAGTACAAAATGGCTACCATTCAAAATGGTACATAATATTCAAAATGTTTATATAATATTTTCAAATAGTCACAGAGAAAAGAAACAGAAAAAGGAGAAAAAAAAATCTCCCATGTGCTGGTTCATTTCCCAAATGGCTGCAATAGCCCAGCCTGGTCAGACCAAAGTCAGGAGCCTGGAGCAACACCAAGGTGTCACATGTGGGTGGCAGGGGCCAAAGCACTTGGACCATTTTGTGCTGCTTTTCCAGCTACATCAACAGAGAGTTGGATCAGAAGCAGAACAGCCATCACTTAAGCCCACACTCACATGGGATAACACGGTTGTAAGTAGCAGCTTAGCCAGCTGCTATCATCTCACCCTGAAAACACTAGGAAGAAGTGAGCAGCTAAGGTTTCATTAACAACACATTGCTAATGATGTTAAGTGACGCTGAGAAGCCACCCTATTTCAAGATCATAGGAGGTATTATTCAGACACATACTCACATTTTGTAATACCTAATTCAATGTTACTTTTATTATGCCCCATTGCAAATTACAAAGTAACTCAACACCAATATATCAAAGAAAAATTCCAAATTTTAATCAATTGTTTATGAAAGAAAAACTCTATCTTCCATTATCTACTATAATTTCTAGTTATTGGAACCTGGCATGATTTTCAAGCCTACATAAAGATGTAAGTCTTCAGGTAATAAAAGTCAAGATAACCTAGAGCCTTTGGGGGGAAAAAAGCTAGAAGGAATAATGCTGTGAGGGTCCTTTATTAATACAAATCAAAAAGCTGCGGCTTTTCAAGATTAAAAATAACTTGATAATTGAAAAAAGGGAGAGCACAAAATAAAAGCTGTTTGAAGAGCCTTTGACATAAAATGAGGTCATATAATGATGCTCAGTGTGAAACTCCACACATACGTACACACAGTGAAGTGATCCATGAGATGCTCATGGTGTGTCATATGTAAGATTTTATGTATGCATATTCTATGGAGAGAGAAGTGTACACAAGAGTATGTACCTATATGGGGACATCAAGAAGTCCTTGGAAATGTTTGATTTTACCCAGCAAAACTTTCCTTCATCTTTGAAAATGAAACAAAATTCTTCCACAGGAAAAAAAAGCTCAAAGAATACACCTCTTCCACATCTGCCCTACAAATGATACTTAAAGATATTCTCTTGACCAAAACCAAAGGCAAATGTGAAGAACATCCCAGTAAAATAACAACAGAAGACTAAATCAAACAATGAACATCCCATTGCCAAAATAACAGGACCAAATAACCGGCTATTCATATTAACCCTTAAAGGAAATGGCTTAAAGTCACCAATCAAACGTTCTGGATTATTAGACTGGATAAAAATAAAACAAAACCCATCTATCTGTGACCTACAGGAGACACATCTCACCAATAAAGATCAGTGGAAACTATAGCCCACGGATTTTGATATTTTGGTTTTTATTTTCATTTCTTCAAAAGTTTTTTCCTCACTGACTCATAGGTAATACTCATAGGTAAAAAAAAATCAATTTTTTTCAAAAAGGTTCTTGATCTTCTTTTTCATTTCTTTAATGACACATTAGTCATTCAGTAACATGCTATTTAACTTCATGGTGCTGTAAGTTCTATTTTTCTTCGTATTATTGATTTTGCTTTGTGGCTCTTCATTGAAGGGAATGCACAGCAATTGTGTAATGGAGACTATCTTATTCAGACGTGAGACTACAATGCAGTATGCATCTATACTTCTAGATCAAAGTTTGACTCCCAATAAAACTGTTAAATATATCTTGATAACAGAATGCTGGATTCTGCCATTGTCCATGCCCACAATGATGGACTTATGACTATTTATGAAAAGCTACAGTATTGTAATAATATCGGTGAAATCAGTGTGTTGGAGGGAGGGGATTTGAAGCAGGGGTCAGGGAAATACTAGAGTCTATGTAACTGTTTCATAAAGTAATGATAATAATAATAATAAAAGATGTATTTTTCATGGGCATTTTGAAACCCTCTTACATATATGCATAAAACCTTACATTCACCATTGAACTATGTTACATTACTTATTTGGAAATCTAAATTGGCTACATGCAGTTTTAGAAACTACAATTATAAGGCCAAGACAGGAAGAGAAAATAATTACAGAAAGAAATTATTTTAATAATATGATTAAAAGAAAAATTATAAGTATATAATATTCATATGTTATAAAATAGAGTGTAAAATATAAAAGTTGAACATGTAAGATTATCAAACACTTTATGGAAAATAGAATTTAAAGTTTACTCTGGGCAAAAGTTTTGAAGGCAAGAGCTTTTCAAAGTTCACGAACATGCATATATGAAAAACCTGCACAGATTTCATGTTTTATTTGTGTCAAAATAAATTTATCTTAAATTGGTCTATTGAAGTAGCATAGAGAAAGAGAACTGGCAGACACAGAAAACTCGCATCCGATGATCTACTCCTCACATGCCCAAGGCCAAAGTCAGGAGCCAGCAATGCAATCCAGGAATCCTGGAACCATGTTACTTGGGGCGTCATTTCATGCTCCCAGTTTCCACACTAACAGGAAGTTGGAGGCAGGAGTTGAGCAACTCATTGAACCTAGGTCACTTTACCACCATATGAACTCCATCGAAATTTATCCAAATGATTCTTTTTTCATGTTTTTTAACTATTTTCATAGATCAAATAAGTTGGTTAAATATTTTTAACTGTTTTTTTAAAAGTATTCATATAAAAAGAACAAGTTTCATATATTTTATAAATACAATTCTAAGATAACTATAGTTCTCTCCCTTCCTGGATGCCCCCTCCTTCCTTACTTTTCATTCCCATCATTTTTGCAATAACATAATTTCAATTCACTTTACACTCACAGGCTTAACGCATCACTAGTAATAACATTCAACAGGAAGAAAGGAGAAATGCCACTGTTGCACAGCAGTAAAGGCAAGGGTTAAAAATCATGTCAGTACCATTCTTGTACATTCTTATGATTAATTATTTTAAAGCATTAAAAGGAATTCTTCCTCTATTATTTTCTACATATTTTTTCTGCTGCTTCCTTAATTTGTTTGACAGCATAAGAGAAGGAAAAGTGGAGAAAAAAAGGAAGAGGAGAGGGAGACCAAGCTTAAGCAAATGCTCTCATCCACAGGTTCACTCCTCAACAACTCACAATGGCTAGAGCTGGTTAGAGCCAGAAACAGAGGCGAGGGGTACAGGTCTCCTACATGAGTTACATGAGTGGTTGAAATCAATTACTTGATCCCTTGCTTCTGCCTCCCAAGGTGTGCAATTTTAGGAAACTGGGGTCAAGAGCGAGGACCAGGCAGCAGACCCAACATAAATTGCAGATGTGGACATCTTAACCACTAAGCAAAACACTTAACCTGCATAATGTAGCCATGATCTTGGCTACAGGTCAACCCCTGACTTATCTAAATCTATAACCATTTTTAATCAGCCAATTTTGTTGTATCTTCCTTTGGTTTACCAATTCAGTGTTAACATTCCACTCTAATATTGTGTAACAAAAATAAACATAAGAAAACTTTTTGAAAGTGACTAATATGGTATCATCATGAAGAAGAGACTCTGAGGGCAACACAATTTTCTCGAGTTTTTCAAATGCAATTGGAAGATGTGATAACAATAGTCATCATATTTCCATTAATTATGATGAAAGAAAAATTCTAGAACATTTCAAATTTGTCCACCAATAATTATTCCAAGAAAAATCTTCACAATTTCAGGTGTCCTGGTTGTCATTCGTATCAGCAAAATATTCATACTGTAACATGAATTTTACTCTCACTTCTCTCTAAAAGACATTCCTCAAATGATTTCAGTCTTTTGACTTTTTTTCTTCCCTGTTTGATCTCTGGAAGTTCAAATTTTCCAAGCCCACATGGGCTCAAATCATTACCTACATAGTCTGATTTCTAATAGCCACATGCACGGATCTTGAGTTTGCCTAAAATACTTCCCTTTTTTCATACACTTTAAATGTTTATTAACTATACGATTTGAATAGGAAAAACACAATATAATTCTGAAAATAATGTGAATATTATATGAAATAGCACTAGCTCTGCTTAAGAGCAAAATGCTAATGATTTCTTCTGTTGTAACACAGCATTATGTGAAAATATTCTTCCAGTTTGTTGGGAAGACATATGAGAGAAACTACAGTTTCCCTTTTACAGGATTCTGTCAAGTATACACCTTCCTCCTTAACACTTTGCTTACTATAAAACATAGCTTTTTCAAAAAGTAAGGGATGTAAGTCCATATTCTTCTCTAATGTTGCTATAGTGCAGGAAACAACGTGGTTTAGAGGTTAAACATGCAGAAACTGGAATCAGGTAATCTAGGTTTAAATCCTGTATCACTAGGAACAAAGTTACTAACACAGCATCTTCTTTGTACTTTTGCCTTTTTTAGCACAACTTATAATTCCTTGAGTTAAGGAATTTGGTTCCTCATTTGACTTTATACTAGTTCTTTCCAGAAATGAATCCTTTAAGCAACTTGCCCAAGATAATTCATCGAGTCAGTAACAAAGGTAAAATTCTATCTGAGACTGTTTTGCATTATGCTATAATTATTATGTAGTATAGATTTCATTGCTCCCTTAATCAT